CTATGAGTCGGAAACAACTCGATGGCACATAACAGTAACAACAACAAGGGTGTTTAGAGAAACAGTAAGGAAGCCTGCTCCCGAGCAGTTCTGCAGGCCTGGGCCCCAGTCAGCGTGTGTAAAGGAGAGGTCGCTCTGGCAGCGGGGAGATGAAAGCTGGTGGCATCCCTGTTATCAAGAAACGATGGGGCTTCAGAGCCAATTGACCAGGAGCCCAACTGAAGCCTCAGGCCCAGCAAATGCTGCAGCACATGTAAGAAGACAGCAGGATTGGCACTGGTGTGGCAAGGCATGCCTAGCAGCCTATGTGGGCCAGCGGAGAGGAAGGAGGCAGGAGTGCCGGAGGGGTGAAGCTTTCCTCAGCGTCTGGAAGCATGCCAACAGCAGCAGGAAATCTTGGGATCCCCGCAGATCATACAAGGAGACCCTGGACAAGGGATGCGGAAGCTGTTGTCATATATACATGTGCACATTAGGGCAGGAGAGGAGCATGGACAGTCTGCAAAGCAGGGCGCCTGTTGTTGCCACATTATTACTATTGTTGTTTGTAATACTAGAAGTTATTACAATAGATGTAATAGTAATTGATCATAATGTACAGAGTTACAATACATTACTGTTTATTCCCCAGTGTTTCCCCAAGTGGGATTGCCCAGTACTGTAAATGCCCTCATTTCCTTTGGCTGTCCCCATTTTACAGAAGAGATTGAATCACAGAGATTACTAGCCATTTTTCCAGGGTCAGTTCATAAACGAAGAAGTCAACATTCAAGTCCAGGTCTACCTGGCCACACACCTTCTCTGAACTCATGGTTAACACATGCTGTCTTTGGAAGACGTGGGGTGAGACCTGGTGTCTCTGGGGAATGTGGAATAAGATTTGATATATCTAGGGGATGTGAGATGAGACCTAGTATCTCTAGGGGATACTGGGTGAATCCTGGTATCTGGAGGATGTTGGATGAGACTTGGTATCTCTAGGGGATGTGGGATGAGACCTGGTATGTTTGAGAGATATAGGGTGGGACCTGGTATATTTCTGGGGTGGTGCAGGACGGTGCAGGGCAGGACCTGCTTATCTTTGGGGGTTATGGAATGGAACCTAGTATCTCTGGGGGTACAGAGCAGAACCTGATATCTTTGAGGGATGTGGATAGAACCTTCCCTGTGTGGGGGGAACCAGCCTAAGCCCTAGGCTTTGCAGTCTGAGGCTGACACTGTTCAGACAGAACCGTGTAGACTCTCAGCAACTCTCCAAGCAGTGATCCCCGCATGGTAACACAGGAGCCTGTGCTTGGGCTCAGAGAGGCCCTTGCCCTGTGTATCCTTTAACTGCAACGTGGTCATCTCCAGTGAGTGACTGCTCCTGTCAGCACTGCGGGGTCAGGAAGGCCAGACACCTGTGTGACATTACTCACACATACTTGAAATGTTGAAATAGGCAGTAAATTCCACAGGAGGTGATTGCTCACCCTTCTCCCATGGAGCAAAACTGGTGGATTCACATTGTGGGCCTTTGGGATTGAAGCACACCCCTTATCACTGGGCCACCAGAGCCCCCCGTGACAGTTTTTCACCCCACCTCAGTCTCCCAAATAACTTCTGTGAACGTGTCAGCATGGAGCCTTCTAAGCTCCTACATACCGCTCACCCTGCAGCTTGCCTTCCTCCAGGACGGCTCACCCTGCAAGTGTGTTTTCTTCTAGAATGATGCACAGATGTGTGGGTTACCTGCACTCTGAGCCCCCTCTGCAGACATGGCCTCACTGGGCAGATGTCTGCACTGTCACTCCTTCCAGTGGCAGCACCCCTAGAGCTGGCTTGGAGTGTGAGCTCCATTCATCATTGTCTGAGGCAGGAGGACCCAGGGTTGCCCTCTGCACTGAGTGTGGGTCAAAGGCAGCAGTGACAAGGACAGGTGCTTCCAACCCATGTTCCACTCTGTCTTCTCCAGGTACGAGGTGGTCTGCCAGAGCTCTGAGCTGGCCAAAGACATCCTGGTGCCCTCCTTCGATCCCAAGAGCAAGCACTGTGTGTTTCAGGGGGACCTGCTGCTCTTCAGCTGTGCGGGCGCCCACCCCAGGCACCAGAGGATCTGCCCCTGCCGGGACTTCTTCAAAGGCCAGGTGGCTCTGTGCAAAGACTGCCTATAGCGGCCATCCTCCACAGCCGGACCGATGCTACAGGAGGACAGGCCGCTGGTAGCTGTCCAGGGCCTCCAGCCACTCTGTGTGCTGGGCCAAGCTCCACTGCTCTCACACTGCAGTGTGTCCCCAAATCCAGACTGCACGCGGCCCAGTCTGGCCTCCCTCTGGCCACGCCACATTGCTGTTTTCTGAGGAGCAGCTGTGAGGAGACTTCACTGAGGTACCTGCTCCAGAGTAAACACAAGATCTGAAGATCCGCTTGAAAAAGAAAGAAAACCAAGAGGAAGAGTGAGCTGAATGGAAAGAACTTTGTGTGGGACATTTCCTCAACCCATTAATTTATTTATTTGACTGGGAGGGTGGGAAACAAGGGAGGGAGTTGAGGGCTCTTCACACGTTGAGTTTCTTCCTTCATTCCCACCTTGCCGTCTGCCACCTGACACTGTGGCTCCTATGGGCAGAGCACAGGGGCAGAGACAGGGTGAGCTGTGGCCTGCCCTGGGCCTGGGGCCTCCTCTAGGGAGCTGCCTCCTCAGAGCAAGAGGAAATCTCACTTCCAGAACCATGCCAAACACTCCAGGGTACCAGGGGTCCAGCTGGGCTGTGGGCTGTCCCCAGAGCCTAGAAGGGACACTACTCCGAGGGGGCCTCCTCTTTCAGCTTCCCTCCAGCGCCTGCCAGCCCCTCTCATGGGATTCCTGGTTTCCTCTTGGGATGGAATTTGGAGGGTTGGGGACTTCTACTTGCCAGTTAGTCTTTGTTCCATTTGTCCCCTTCAAATGTCACTGTGTGCAGAAGGAAGAGAGGGACTTCCATGCCGCTCGTCACATTGGAGGGCTTACTCTTGTCCCCGTGAGGGTCTGGGTCACCAGGAAGAGGTGCCCATAGGCACAAGCAGCACAAGCTAACTTCATTTACTCACTGATCTGGGTGAACACAGGCCCTTGTTTAGTGGATTACCAGGTCCACCATCCCTGACAGAGATTGGTCATTTGGGGTTTTGATGCCACAGGAAGGCCAGGGGTTAGACATACACCAGACATGTTGTTCACTGCACATCAGTAGTAATAGCGTAAGCCATGCCTTGTTGGTTGGTGACTGGCACCTCATTGGCATGACCACATTCCAGGGAGCGTGCTCGTGGGGGGCTGGGGCAGTGTCTGATCACACACTGAGGACACCCTGCCTAGCATGGCCTGTTATCTGGGGGCTGGCTGCCCACACCCCATCTCCACCAGGTACATACATCACCCCATGTGTGCAGCTGACCCGGCTGAGTGGCATTCCCCATCTTAAGTGACCCCTGAGCACATCTGCAGCAGAGTGCTAGTGGGCGGCCTCAGCGCTGGCAAGAACTGAGCCTGTGTTGGCCCATCAGTGAGAAGGGCAAGGTCCTGAGGAAGCCCTGTTGGTGATAGAAAGTGAGTGACAGTGAGTGTGTGTATGTGTGTGTGAGCATGCGCCCTTACTCTTGGGAGCAGCTTTTCCGAGTCAGTGGGCATCCTGGCCTGGGGATCCACTACTGGACTCTCCCACCCAGGCTGCCACTGCAGCTGCCAGTCCCAGCCTGTGCTGTGGGCTCCTGAACCTCCAAAGCCAACGATGCCCGTTCCCCTATGCGACCAGCAGGGGGAGCCCCTGGGTCAGCCTCTCCCCATTTGTTAGCAGAGAGCTGTCTCAACAAGCAGGTAAGCCAGAAGGGAAGGAAGCTGGAAAGCAAAGTTCTGTGAAAAGAAGGTATGCTTGCTTTATGTTCTAAAAGGGGCTCCCTAGGCACCATCCCAGACATTGGGCCCAGGGAGCCCCCCAGAGCACCTTCCCCAGCCTTCATCCTTGTCCCAGGCCTGGGTTGGATGAGCTGGAGATGGTCTTAGGCGTTGTGAAGAGCTGCCATACCACAGTGAATCCTGGCTGCAGGTCATCTTCCTGGGGCTGGGTCAAGCTGTGCCTGAGAAGGGAGGAGGCTGTGCCATGACCTGACAGCCAGAGCTTGGAGCCTCCAGGCTTCGACAAGGGACCGTCTTTGTAGAATCCTGAACAACCTGCATTTGCTGACAGATCCACAGGGAGAGAAGACTGGATCAACATTCTCCTATCAGATTATCTTTCCTGAGCTTTTAAGTTTTTGGCGTTTATTTTTCTCCTCCCCTAAGGGAATATTTTTAAATGTTGTGATCAGAAGTCCTTATAAAATCTTAAAAAAACCAGTCATCTAATTTATTAAAAGATAGAAAGCTTTCCTTTGAAAGTTAAAGTTGAGAAACACATTCAGTGCCAGTGAACACCTCATTTTCCCATGTTTGCTGTTTGATTTGCACATGTCCACATGGAGACTCTCTGGGTTTATACTCGGTTTTACTGTCACCCTTTCTGCATATGCTATGTCTAGATGTCCTTGTCTGTCTTTTTGATGATATTTATTTTCCCATGTGCCTTTTCCCTTTTCTTTGGGGTTAACTTTTAAAACCTCGGTGCTGTTTTATTAAGATATGATAGCTGATTCCAGCATGGACACTGGACATGCCCTGGGGTCACTGCAGATGCCAGACCGGAAGTGTCCCCAAGCACACACACGGACACCCCAGATTGCACCAACCCATCCTGCATGCCATGTCTGTTAGCTGGGTTCTTTAGGTCTCTCTTAAACATTGCTAAGTGTGGCTGGGAGGCCAAGTCCCCTCACCAGCCCCAAAGCCCTTCCCAGCAATATGGTGGCCACGTCTGTACACCCCACTTGGTTTCCTTGGTGATTGGGTTTCACTTAGGTGAAGAGGAGTTTCTCCTCTTTATGAGGACTTGTCCCTAGACACGGCTTCCCAGTAGTGAAGCCGTAGACACTTCAGGTCAGGCTTGAGCAGGGCTATTTGCAGGCAGCTGTGTGATTTTGGACCAAATGTGGGCTCCCCACCCACTGCTCTGAGGTGGTAGCCCTAGACCCCTCCCTCTCTCCCCAGTGCCCAGTAATTCTTGATTTAAAGCAAAGCATCTATTGGTTAACGACAGGCTCTGTTGTATGTGTCACTGTCCCAGCCTGGATTGTTTTATTTATTTAAAGTATTGTAATTCCACACCAGCTTCATCCTAATCCCATGCACTCTAATGAGGCTGCTAAGCATCCCCATTTGAGTAGATGGATGAATTAGTATTTCTACTCAACTGGGAAGGTATGTATTTCCTAATGCAGGGCAAGCTCCTTTCATTCTTACTGACTTCAACTAGAGATGGAAAACCAAGTTTATTTTCTAGGAAATGGCCACATTAGCCATGTAGTTGGATGCAGAGAAACACACCCCTCTCCCCACCTTGCTTAGTGCTTCGGGTGGCTGTGCGATGCCCGTGTAGCCCAGTGCCTGGCACGTAGTGAACCCTAGCAGATGTTAACTAGTGTTATTAGCAATCTCAAAACCTGAGAAGTAGGAGCTGACCTCACTCTTTGTTACTCAGAATTCATACCTTCATGAAGATACCACGTGGATTAAATGTCGTAGGAATTAACAGTCTAGAATGTCCAAGTCCTGCACCCACCCCACTGGTTGATAGTCTTCTGTAAATTCGCTTAGTGGCTTGAAAGTACATCATGGTTCAGCCCCAGATGAAGTGAGGCTGCAAGGGCTTAAGACACTGGAGAGGGAAAAGGTGGTCTGGGGCTCAAGTCTTGATCAGAAATTACTCCATCTTTGAAGTCCCTTAACTCCTACTCCTCTGAAATGCAGCAACAGAGGTTCTGTTTGGGTTTTGCAAGGGGACAAGAACTCTAGAACAACACATGGAATTAGTCTATTTCCCAGGTAGCCCCTCCTGTCGACAGGGATCAGACACCCTGGCTGGCCAGCACCACCCACATTCCCATAGATAAAAGGTCACTTCTAGTGGGGCCCCTGTCTAACTGCCAGCCTAGCAGGCTAAGCTGGTTACAGCCACTCAGGTAAGGCTTCCTGAGGTTGGGGGTGTGGCTGGCATGGTAGAACTCATCAAGTGTGACCTATTTTGGGAGGGTCTGGCCTCTTTATTTCCTTGGAGGTTTGTCTCCTGTCCATATGTCCCTGGATAATGTAGAATGTCGAGGCCTGGCTGGACGCCAGTGTCCCCTTCACAATCATTTGGCTCATTTTCTGCTGAGTAGATACTTCTAGGGATGGAAATTTAGACTGGCCACCTTCAAACACCGCCCCCTCCATCCCAGAATCTGGGGAGTCTACACACGGTCTCCCTTCTCCCCACCCCCACCCTGTAGCTGGTGGAACCTGCTGTGCGCCTCTGCTTTGAGCTGTGCCCTGCCTGAACGAGGAGGGGTTGCATTTGGGGTGCTGGAGTGTGAAGGGAGAGGAGGCCAGGGACCATCAGTACCCTTCTCCAAAGCAGGGGGAAAGCTCATTTGGAAGTCCCTTTCTCACTGTCCCACCCGAGTATTAATGGAAGAAGATCATCACACAGGATGTCAAAGGAGAGAGTGGCTCCTTTGTCCTGTTGCTGTCAGCCCAGAGGACTCTTCAGCTGACGCCATTTCTCATCTGTCTTCAAACAGCTCCTGGGGCGAGGGCTGGATTCTGCAACATGGTGTCGCTGTCCAAACGTACTGTACTTGCATAGAAAGCTCTGCTTTGTTTTCCACTGTTGTAGAGAAAATAGGGAGAACTTTATTTTTCAATAAACTTTTCTTGTGTGACAGGTGGAAGTGTTCTGATTACTTTGGTGGGTGAGGCAGAGTTGAATGGGAACAGGCAGCTGTTGTCCAGCATTTGGCAAACACTTAACAGGGAGTGGAGGATGGGGTTCCTCCAGTGTCCTTTCCTTACATCATATCCACCAAGTAAGATCTTCATGGTTTCCTCTGCCCCACACTCACCTACGAGGGAGCCTGAGGGGAAGCAGGATGGGAGGGAGATAGATCAGATACAGATTACAGAGATTGGTATAGATTAGGTAGATGATACAGAGATACAGATTACATGATGAGTTGTTGTTATATACCTACAACTCATAGTGACCCTATACACAATAACTCTGAACCCCTGTCCTGAGGC